CGAGGTACCACTGTATCTGGAAATATATAGAAAGTATTTATAGGTCTCGGCAATGCTTTAGACATGCTGGAGTATATATGAAACTCTTTGAAGCATGGTGTTAAGACGAGTATCACTAAACTGCTGACAGTGCAGCAGTGGAGTGACACTTGATGAATGTGCACTGCTCCAAGGAACCCTGGCTTTATTTGTTTTCTCTGTTACACACAAACATATCTGTCTGTCTGTCTAGCTCTGCTTATCTGTCTTTCTGTTTGCCTGTGTGTGTCTGTCTGCATGTATATCTGTCTCAGGGAGCGGCTCGTAAACCAACAGGTATTACACACAATGCAATTGTCACATCTGATTCCTGAGCAAGTGAAATTGCGTATTACTTCCCAGTCATGCTTATTATGCCTTGTATCTACAAGCACTGGAATTTTTGAGTTATCCTAGGTAATTTACACTATGTATAATAACTTTACTTATGTGTACCTGTGAGAGACAGATATAGACAGAGACAGATACAGACAGAGACAGACAAAGTCAGTCAGCCAGCTAGCCAGCCAGTCAGCCAGCCTGCCGAATACATATTACACATGTTCCAGAATCGTTTCTCTTTACTTAACGCATAGGGTATAGGACATTCTGGCAGGACAACACTACCAGTGGCATCGGAAATGAAAGGATGTTGAGCAAATGTTGCACATGGGTTATTATCAAGGTTTTTGATATTTCCTCGACCACTTGTGGTTACATCCATCTCAAAGCCACTAAACTCTGCGTCAACATCACTTTCCTCTTAAAAGGGGAGTGTTAATATGACATGACATCAGTGAATCCCTGGTGTTTGCCATGCTATTTTCTCTAGCTGGTGCTCTATTGAACTGGTACCCCAACAAGGCACTAAGTGGTCCCAGATTTTTTTAATATTGCACACACCGAGTGTTAACCATTGACTGTTTCGGTCATATATATACGTCTTACGAGCCACCGTGTTTGATGTATATAGTATACTCATAAATTCTAGTGGCTTCAAATCAAGCAGGAGAAAGCTGGTAGGCCCACATGTGAGAGAATGGGTCTGTGTGGTCAATGTGCACCAGGTAAAAAAAATCCTGCAGCACGCAGTGCATAATGAGAAAAAAAAAACTCCGACCATGTTTTTGGATTAAAACGCTGACTTTGTGGTCTATTTTTGTATAGTATTATGGTTGTATTCTCGTTTTCTTGGTCTCATTTGATAGAATGGAAAACATATTATAGAAATAGAGTTGATTTTGATTGGTTTTACTAAGAAGAGAACCTTGAAATGGAGCTCAAAGTAGGGGAAATGTTTGATTTTTGCCGATGTTCAAAGTAAACAAATGATGTCATTGTCCAATAAATGTCCAACTAGCCATTCTAATATTCAGTCATGAATGGGTTGACATTATTTGTACAATTATTACAGTATTGCAGTAGTCTGCATAACAGTAAATCTTCTATTTTTTGTTTGAATAAAAATTCAAAATATAAAGCAAGAGTAATATCAGAGGGGCTGGAGACATGACTGATGAACAAAGAAAATGTTATTTTAGAGCCAGGAATGTCTGCATTGTTCATTCTGGACCATATTTTGTAATTGGCATGTTTTTTAATTGCGTGAAATTGGCCAATTGCAATTTTCTGACCAATTTATTGAGTAGTTGAAATTGGTAAATGGGCAGTTTCTTGTACTCAATTGATAGAACAAATGTAGTTCTAAAGAAATAGTTATGAGTTTGGTCGACCGGAACAATGGAATTAGCCGAAAATAGGGCTCAAAGTGGGCGAAATCGCTGAGGTCACTAACTTTGCAAGAGTGTAATTTCGTAAGTTTTCCATGAATTTCATTCTTTTGGAGTCATTACCATCGGGGAAAAATCCTCTATCATTTCATAAGCTTTTTTTTTTTTTTTCAAAATTTTTCGACACCAGGAGACACCTCAGGATTTGGGGTTGCGACAATCAAAGGGTTAAGATCCATTCTACACTGACCAGGCATCTCAGGCCAATCGAGCCAAATTTGGAGGCAGGAAAAATAAAACATAGATCTACATTTGGAGCGCAAGCGGTACAAACGTAGATTTACATTTGGACAGTTTAAGGGTTAATAATGTTGTGTTGAAGCATCAAGGTATTAAAGCTAAGCAGTTGTCAAATGTCTTGAAGCAAGGTGTGCTTTATATTTGCATGCTGAATGGAAGTATATAATGATACCTAAGTATTTACAATACTGTACTGTACTTAGTGTTTAAGGCTTAATGTCTGTTGGGTGTACAGAGGACATTAAGGCAGATTGCTGAGTATGCTGTAGGTGGCAATGATGGAGCGGGAAGTGTGGGAATGGATTGAAGGTGAGGTACCTTATGGATGTGACAATGAGTTTGGCTGTTTGGCAGAAATTTGGAAATTGCTGGGTCAGTTGGTTCATAAACAATGGACAAAATCTGTGGGTTACAGAATTGTCCATTATTGGTATGATCATGGCAAAACAATCTCAGCTCTCTCTGTCTCTCCCCATTGCAGTTACTATTACAGGTCATTAAATTCAGTGCTTACAGTAGCTATATCTAAAGGCCATTGAGCGTGAGTTTGTTGATAAAGTGTGACCTGGGTGCTACAGAAACATATTGTCATTGATGCATATCTTAACGAGTAAACTTACTGAACTCTTACACCTTGCAGTATAATGCCAATACTGTACATATGTTTTCAATTTTTTCTTGTGATTTAGAATATATATTAGATTTACCAGGAATTAAATGTTGGTTACATAGCTGAATATGATCTGTGGTATTCCAGCTCTCTCTTCAAATTGCTCTTCTCACTTTTTCAACTTCTTAGCTCCTAATAAATGTACCAGATGACCTGTCACATCTACTGTGACAATCTGGGGTACAGAACATAATTAGATTTTAGGATGTGTTTGGTAGAAGAACTGAAAGTTTGCATGATATGCATTCATATTCCATTACTTGTTAGGTGGTGTTCATTGAGAAAATAAACCAGATGATCTCTCACATCATTTGTCTCATCTAAATACCAATTATAGAATTTGCTTTGTGAGATTGAATCATTGACTTGTAGCATGTAGGTGTTAACAAAGCATTGTAGTCATGTTTAGTCTTTATGCTATGACTCAAATTTAAAATGTTTTAGTTTAACTTGTGGCAGAACACTCATTCATGTATCTAAACAAAGTTAATTATTAATGTTTGTCATGCCATATTTTACAGTCTTGCATTGTAGATAGACTGATCAATAAATTTAATCTAATTGTTGTGTTAGTAAGAGCCTATGTTTTAATTTATAGGCAAAATTCCCAGTGGAGTGATTGAAGTTAAAATTTGCAGTTTGGGATTAACAGCCTGTTGCCTTATCCACTGCACCACAGAGAGTCATAATGTTTTCCTGAATAAGAATCCTGAGCAAATTGGTGATGACCACTAGCCTGATTAGGGTCACAGTTAGTGGCCATCACCAACTTCCTCAAGACTCTGGGAAAATCTTGTAACTCTGCAGTGCAGTGGCTAAGAAGAGCTGATAATCCCAGAGCATGAGTTAAAATTCCAGTCAATATTCTGTTGATCCGTTGCCATTGTTTGTTTTAAACTTCATTCTTTATAAAAGTATTGATGTTGGGAAGGATCCTTTATTTACAGCAACAAAATTAAGCCTAATATAATATTATGTTTTACGTAAATATGTAAATCTTCTTTCTTTCAACAAACCGGCTGTATCCCACTGAGGCAGGGTGGCCCAAAAAGAAAAACGAAAGTTTCTCTTTATAAAATTAGTAATCTATACAGGAGAAGGGGTTACTTGCCCCTTGCTCCCGGCATTTTAGTCGCCTCTTAAATATGTAAATATAAAATAAAAATGTCTGTGAAGTAGTACTTATGTTGTACTTTTTTAGGCACATTTGATCAAACAAGCCAAACTGCCCTTACATCAGATCTTTTCAAAAAGTTTATCCATTACATTAATACATAAATATATTTTTGTGAAGTAATGTTACGTTTATTTTTTTTTAATTTTGCACCAAACTTATGTTAGCACTTAACATTGCAAAGATTACTGTAGTATATTGTAGTGTAATCATATTCAACCTATCTTAGATCAACATATTTTTTTAGTTTATACTTTAACATTAATGAAATCTACTGGTTTTCTGAGGATCAGACTGATTTTTGATGAGTTTCTTCACTTATGGTAGTCTTAGCAAGTCAGAGGTAGGATGTTTTCGTCAGTGAATCTCAATTTTGATATCTCATAAAAAGTATAAAACAGGGTGTTAAAATCATAAGAATGTAAAACTATAGTTCTTTTTATATTCATATTTGGCAACTACTGTAGATGCATGAGCTTAACCCATAAACAGTCCAAACGTATACAGACGTTCACTACTCCAGTGCAGTGAATATTTTGAAAAATAAAAATATCTTTTTTTTTTTATGGAAATAAGGAGCACATTTTTCTAGTGTTATAGGATTATAAAAAAAAAATTAGGGTCAGTACTTACAGAGATATGAGGCTGAGAAGTTGGCACTGGATGCTCACCTGACGGCAACATCGAGTCCTGCCGCTTGCAGAAGTATTGCCGATATACCTTTTTTTCTATTTTTCATATTATTTTATATAATTTTTATGTTCTGATAATTACAATTTATGGTAGTTCTTGTCATTTCATAACCAATCTTTGTTCTGACACTAGTATTAAGTTCTGACATTGTACTCAAATTGTCACAAACACACTGACAGGTGGAGATTTACACCTGCCTTGGCCATTTACTATTGTCTTGGAATATATACAAAGTACTTATAGGTCCCAGCATTGTTTTGGATATGTGGAAGTATATAATAATAATAATAATAAGAATAAGAAGAAGAAAAGAATAAGAATAATAATAAGAATAATACGTAATAATAAGTTCCCTTGAAGCATGTAAAACAAGCCTCGGTCCACTCTTGACAGTGAAGTGATAAGATGAGATAACATGAGATAAGAGTTGACATTTGATGAGCATCGGACCTCGCTTTGTTTTCGCTGGTAGGTACACAAACATGTCTTTCTGTCTATTTGTCTGTCAGTCAAGCTCCCTGTCTATCTGTCTATCCATCTAGCTCTCTGTCTGAGAGAGAGCCACAAGACTGCATCATCACGTTTACTCATATCTTCAAGCAGAGTATAGCACTTCGTCTGGATTTTTTGAGTTATCCTAGGTAATTTACACTATGTATACTTGTATTTATGTGTACCTGTGAGACAGAGATAGACAGAGACAGAGAGATAGACAGAGGCAGACAAAGATAGAGACAGAGATAGACATAGACACAGACAAACAAATGGAGCCAGGCCGCCATTTTTGGCCAATCCACTTCAAAGCCACTAAACTCAAGGTCAACATCACTTTGCTCTTAAAATGGCCCTTTATCACTCTCTTATTTACCCCTATCTCACCTATGGAATTTGTGCATGGGGCTCAACAACAATTAACCATCTCAGACCACTAATTACCCAACAAAAGGCTGCAGTTAGAATGATAACAAATTCTCACTACAGGCAGCACACTCCACCAATATTCAAAACACTCAACCTACTCACCATACAAAACATCCATACTTATTATTGCACTTATTACATACATAGAACACTTAACTCTGATATTAACCCTCCCCTCAAACATCTCCTTGCCAACCTCAACAGAACACATGACCATAACACAAGGCACAGATCACTCTTTGATGTTCCTCGTGTCCATCTCACGCTATGCAAAAACTCAATGCACATAAAAGTCCCTAAAATCTGGAATTCATTACCTGTAAATATAAAAGAAACACTACCTGTTTATAAATTCAAGTCTCTTCTCAAAGTTCACTTACTCACTCAAAACCAAATAAATACTGAATAACTTAACCATATAAATTGTATATCCTAAATGTTACTCACAATTATATCACACAAATGTTAAACCTAGGACCCAATCTAACTTTGATATTTTTTTAAATACACTACCTAACAGAATACTCCATTCTACTGAATGAACAGCAATGCATGCAACCATATGACCTGTCTTTGTAATACTCATTTGTGCTTTATAGTTATCCGTTTACAATAATGTTTTATCACTGATTTCATCATTGCTTAGTTAATCTTAAGTTAATTTTAAGCCAGCCCGTAATGCTATGCATATAAGTGGCTTTGGCATGCTGCTCTTACCTGTATTTTTTTGTACCTCTGTATGTATGCTAAAATTTCTAAATAAAAAATAAAAAAATAAATCCCAGGCGTTTGCCGCGCTGTTTGCTCTAGCTGGCGCTCACTTGAACTGGTGCTTCCACAAGGTACTAAGTGGTCCTAGATTTCTTAATACAGTGCACACTGAGTGTTAAGACCCATTCTATGCTGACTAGGCATCTCAGGCCAATCGTGCCATATTTGAAGGCAGGAAAAATAAAACGTTCATATACATTTGGGGCACTAGCGGTAAGAACGTATATATATGTTTGGACCCTTTACGGGTTAAAAGTCATCCCACTTTCTTTTGCAGACACTGGTCACATTTTATCATTTTTTTTTTATATGTATTGTGATATGTTGAGTATGAGAAATGTTTTTCATTAAGGAGGTCACAGTGGAAACTGGTTTCCATCTCTTGCCTCAGCTGTCTTGTTTCTGGATTCAAACTGGCTCCATGTGACTCGAGCAGGTGCAAGTTGATGCTGTTAACAACTGCACATTGGCATCCCAGGTACCTGTTGATGCTGTTAACAACTAAACATTGGCATCCCAGGTACCTATTGATGCTGTTAACAACTGAACATTGGCATCCCAGGTACCTGTTGATGCTGTTAACAACTGAACATTGATAAACCAGGTACCTGTTGATGCTGTTAACAACAGGGTTTGCCAATGAGTGGCAGGCAGTGATAGGTGTTCCTTATCCCAAAGTGGGTTTCCCATAGCTCCTATACAGAAACACTTCTTATTCATGTTTTCACTGAAATTTTATGCATGTTTGTATATACATTTATCCAGTGTATGTAAATGATTCAGTCACCAACTTTAAATGGTAAATAATAGCATAAGTTTTTAAAACTGTATATAGTCATTAGTGCCAAATATTTATATACATATTTATTTAGATACATACATTAGGTTTTCCCCACTTGCTGTGGGTTATGTTCCTAGAGAAGGCTGATCCCACTGAAATAAGTTTCAGTGTTTATAGATTTTGTTGCAATAGAAATGTTTGATTCTATTCAAAACAAAGAAGTCTATTTACAGATAGTAAACAGCATGATATGTGAGTACTGTGGGATTGGAACTGTTCAGTTAAAACAAAAAGCAGAAAGTCCCCAGAGAAGATACACAGGTTCAAATGAAATTTTTTATATGTATGAAAAACTTGCATTAGTAAATGGAGCTGTGGCATGGCTCTTCTCTGTGGTTTACTCAAATTTTTTCTGTGAAGCTTGCAAGCAAGCAAAAATTAAGTTATTGTATTTTGTTTTACTAAATTATGAGTCTGTTGTGAAACTGGTGCTCTTATTAGCCCTATCTATCTTGCTTGAAAAAATTAATTGTCCTAGATTTAATTGCAAAAGAATTTATTTTTTTGCTGTTATATTTACCCTTTCACTGTTGCAACCCCTTAAATTAAAAGTGTTGACAGTGTTGCCATTTAATTTTTTTTTTTTTTTAAATGGTAGAGAATCTTTTTCAGAAGGTAGACACCAAAAATACAAAATTTGTTGGAAAACTTATGGAATTACACAGATGCAAAGTTGGCTGTCTAGACACAATTTATGCATTGACAATTTTCCCCATTTTGAGTCCTGTTTTATGCCAAATAAATTGGTCAGTTCAACAAATTCTAGCTGTTTCTCTAATTTGATTGCCATTACATCAATTGAACACAAGAAACTGCCCATTCAGATACCAGAACTACCCTCTAAAGTATACAGAAATCAGTAATTTGGTCAATTTTACTCAAAATTCAACAAATTTAACCCTTTCAGGGTCGACAGGCCCTCTCAAAGACTTGTTCTCAGGGTCCCCCAAATTTCAAAAAAAAAAATTATTATTTCTTATGAAAAGGTAGAGAATCTTTTCCCGATCATAATGACACCAAAAGTATGAAATTTGATGGAAAATTTAGGTAATTATGCTCTCACGAAGTTAGCGGTCTCGACGATGTTTATGCATTGGCGATTTTGCCCACTTTGAGCCCCATTTTCAGTCAATTCCACTGTACTATTCGACATAAATCATAACTATTTCGCCAGAACTTCATTTTTTCTATCGAATGAGTGCAAGAAACCACCCATTTACCGATTTCAACTATCCAATACAGTGGTCAGAATTTAGCAATTTTGCCAATTTCACACAAATTTCAAAACATGCCAATTTCCAAATAGGGTCCAGAATAAACAAGAAAGACATTTCTGGCGCTAAAATGACATTTCCTCTGTTCCTTAGTCACGTCCCAATGCCTCTCTTACATTCTTTTGCTTTCCACTTTGAATTTTTATTCTCACAATAAATAGAAGATTTACTGTTATGCAGACTACTGCATTAGTGTAAAAATTGGTATAAATAATATCGGCACACTTGTGAAAGAAGATTAGACTCACCAGTTGATGTGTATTGGACGCTTAGCATGATTTGTTTACTTTTGAACTTTGGTAAAAATCGAACATTTCTGCTACTTTGAACTCAATTTCAAGGTACTTTTCATTGTAAAATCAGTCAAAATCATCTCAATTTCTGTAATGTCTTCCATTCTATAGAATGAGACCAAGAAAACTAGAATACATCAATAAATACCATACGAAAATACAGTGCAAAGTCGCTGTTTTAATCCAAAAACACGATCAAAGTCTTTTATTTTTCTCATTATGCACTGTGTGCTGCAGGATTTTTTTTATACTGTGCACACTGACCACATAGACCCATTCTTTCATATGTAGGCCTACCAGCTTTCTCTTACTAGATTTGAGAGCGCTAGAATTTAGGCGTAAGCCGTACAGTACGGCCGAAACCCCGAAAGGGTTAAATTTTAAAACAGTTCAAAATAAACACTGTAGTCATTCCAGTCACTAAAGCAATCTATTCTCTACTCATTAATCATAACCTCAGGCCTCTCCTTTATATGTATATACAGTGGACCCCCGGTTAACGAACTTTTTTCATTCCAGAAGTATGTTCAGGTGCCAGTACTGACCGAATTTTTTCCCATAAGGAATATTGTGAAGTAGATTAGTCCATTTCAGACCCCCAAACATACACGTACAAACGCACTTACATAAATACACTTACATAATTGGTCGCATTTGGAGGTGATCGTTAAGCGGGGGTCCACTGTACTTGCCCTCCATTTTGAATCCATCATCACAAAAAAGAATTCAGTGTTTTACTCTATTTCTATTTCGTGGCTAATAAAATATAGCCAAAAATGATTGGTCATGGTTTAGAGCATTCCAATAATTGAAACAGACCTAGTATAATAAATGACTGAATTGTGAGCATAATCAACATGGTGCCATGTATGTTGAACAAACATTAATATTAAAAGTGAACAACGAATATGTTGCTTGTTATAAAAAAACAACTATTCAAAAAAAAAAGTCTTTTAGTGTATGTTTTTTTTTTTTTTTCATATTGGCACTTGCATCAAATTGCCCTCAATAGAGTTTCTAGAGCTAATAAAGATGATGTTTATTTTGACAAATTACATGATTGTACAAAGGAATATAATAGTTGGGTGTATATGCCAAAAGCCCCTTTGTATGCAGAGCATTTTGGGCAAACTTAAAGATTAACTTAAGATTAGTAAGGCAATAATACATAGTTCATAAAGATTAGTAAGGCAATAATACATAGTTCATATGGTCATTAGATGAGTTACAGTGAGTACAGGAGAATTGTATATTCTATCAGGTAATGCTACATGGTTTTGATAAGTCTAGTAGAGACTTATTACACTATTGAATTAGCTAATAAAGATTACAGTATTACAATGTAACAGTTTAAAACAATTTACAATA